ACACCTTCCAGTCGGTCCCGAAAGCCTACAAGATGCCGAGGATGGATTCGAAGGTGGCACAGGAAGTCCATCAATGCACCCACGATGGCCAAATTTTGCTCCAAGAGGAATCACCAGGTCCCGAGAAAAGGTCTGATGGGTGCCGAGGATGGCCCAAGAGACGTCCGAGAAGCGACAAGGAGCTCTCCGAGAGACTGTCAATCAAACAAGCTGTCTAAGAAGCCTCAAGAGGAGGCGCCCAGAAGGACACCGATAAAAATTATCCAATAACCTCTGGGGAGGTCAAAATGCATTCCAACCCCTTTGACAGTTTAGTCATTTCTGAGTGTCGCGCTCGTTCGCCCCAAACAGCCGCAGGAGGCCACACTATGCCCCCACAACTCCCCCCCAAGTGGTCCCGAAGATGCCACAGCCGACGCCAGCAGATAGGCCGATGACATTGCAAGGATCCTCAAAGACGACCCGCAGATGGCCCAAGACCTCACAGAAATGCACGACACGGATGCGGCCCAAGGCTGCGCGAAGACGGCCGCTGGACGACCCCCGACAGGCTCGCAGGGGCCCCAAGAAGCTCTCAAGAGACCATCCAATTGGCTCCTGGGAGGTCACGCTTCCCGATGCACAATGTTACGACCCTCTGGGCCATGGGGGAAAGAATCCTCACAAGTGTCGGCCATCTTTCCAATTAAACATCGCACCATAATATGTTACGGCCCTCTAGGATCTGAAAGCGACGAGAGGCACATGATGCGGCTTCCTGGGGCATAACGGAGACACTTATCACGACATGTTATCGTGATGACAGTAGCTGGTCGTCGGAATAGCGCGTTGGGCGATGTACCCGTATGTGCGGAACATCTGCGCAATACATCTCGGATAATCTCGCGAGGCGACCACCGCTGCGTAGACGACTGGTAGGGCCTGGTAGGGGGCAGCGCAGAGCAGCAGCGCCGAGCAACAGGGGCCGCAGGTGTGCGCAGGCGGCCAGCATTGGAAGGCGATGCTGCACATTCGTCGGGGATTGACAGACCTCCCTTTAGTAAAACGTGGTTTAGTGAAAACGACCTGAGGCCCAAATCTGGCGGGCGCAAGCCTGGAAAATAACGGCCACGGCGCCCTCTCGAAAACCGAAAACGGACAATTCACTAATCGACGTGTCACTGTTGGGGGTTCTGTCCACCCCCGAATTCGGGGGGCCTTGCCTGTCCCGCCGCGCTGCTATCGGGCCGAACCCTGGACGAAGCCACGAACCCGCGCCGGACGGAGGAGGACACACCGGACAGGAGGAGGAGGAGGAGGAGGAGGAGGAGGGGGAGGAGGACACACCGGACTCCAGGACACGCAAGGCTCCCTTGAAGGTGCAACGCAGCGGAGGGCACCCTGCCGGCTCGGAGCCCTCGGGCCTCTCAGAGACCGGGGACCGTGGCGCGGTTGAAAAAACGATGGCCGACAGGGCCGAAGACGTTGAACCTGATCGGACATCGGGGGACGCAGACAAGCGAACTGACACGACGGCACGTGGACGGAAGTGGTCCGGTCGGAAGGCGCAAGCCGCTCCAACCCGAGACTGGCCACATCACACAGGCGGACCCGGGCCAGAAGAACACCCCCAAGAGCACATGAGACCCTCCGCCGGCCACGGCCAGAACTCGGGAGCGGCCAAGAGAGGGGTGTCCAAGAGGGTGGTGCAAATCATGACCGGCGGCATGTGCGCGGCCCAGCGGGGAGGCCAGGGACGTAATGAAATACGAAGAGGCGCCATGAAATCTGAGGAAATATCATGGCCCCCGCCATGATATACACCCCCCCTATAGTCATCACCCCCCTCTTTTCCGCCCCCGACCTCCGCTGGCCAGAACGCAGCGAATGTCCGAGGATACCCTGCCCGGGATGCACACGAACATCCAACCGGCCCGACAAACATCCGAGGGCACCCTCCCCGAGCCGACCCAACTCGTGCCCCTCCTCCGCAGGGGCGGCCCCCACGGCGGGGGGTCCCGGAACACGGGCCGCCTCCCCAAGAGCCAGGGCGCCCGCGCCGCGACCCGCTCCCAGACTCCAAGGAGGAGGAGGACGATGACGATGACGAGGAGGAGGAGGAGGAGAACGAGGAGGAGGAGGACGATGATAATGATGATGATGAACAGGAGGATGAGGAGGAGGAGGAGGAGGAGGAGGAGGAGGAGGAGGAGGAGGAGGAGGAGAGCGAGCCGTCCGCTGCTTCCTCACCTGCCAGAGCGTGCCGCCGGCCCCGCCGTCACCCGCCACCGCCCCCCCCCGCCCCTCTCCCCCTGCGCCCGGCGGAGGGCACGGGCTGAGCCGCTCACCCCCCCCCCTCCTCCCTCCTCCCTCCTCCCTCCCCTCCCTCCTCCCTCCTCCCCTCCTCCTCCCTCTCCTCCTCCCTCCTCCCTCCTCCCTCCTCCCTCCTCCCTCCGCCCCCTTCTGTGGCAACTCACGGGAGCCTCCCGTGCCGCCTGGCTGCTCTGTTCTGTCTGCAAGAATCGCAGGCGCCTCGCACGAATCTCTGTCCGCCGCCCGCTTTCAGTGTCCACGGCTTGGGAGAAAAATGCATCGAAGCACCACTCTGCAGGGAGTGCCTCGGCGACCAATGCAGACGTGAGCGTACGAAGCAACATACCGCCTCCCTGGCTCTTGCAAATCGCCGCCAACCCACGCCAAGTCGACGCTGAATCGACGCTGATCGAGGCTAACCGACGCGACATCGGCGCGATCTCATCAACCACCAGGCGCTAAACGGCGCCAATGCGCTCTGAAGGCAGAACTACGAGGGTACACACGGCTCCCACGATTTGCGACCGGACGTCCTCCACTTCCCCCTTCGATGTCTGCTCTTCTTCTCCGGGGCGGCCAAGAGGGCGGTGTCCAAGAGGGGGGGGGGTGCAACTCATGGCTGGCGGCATGTGCGCGGCCCAGGGGGGGGGTGCCAGGGACGTATTGAAATAAGAAGAGGCGCCATGACATCTGTTGGATGCTTGGAAATTGACACCATCACCAACACAGGGGGTTGCCTCCACCAGGGGAGGATGATCCTAGAATTCGGTGTTGGTGGTAATCTTTCGGCCGCCTAGGAAGCCAGAATATTACCACCATCACCGAGATTGGGATATTCTTCCCTCGGTGGAGGCACAACGCCGATATTGGTGTTGGTGTTAACCTCTAGGCCTCCGAATCTGAGGAGAGATCATGGCCCCCGCCATGACCCTAGCCATCCCCCCCCTCCTTGCCGTCCCCGATCTTCCCTCCTGCGCGCTGCCTCCCGCCGATGAGTATCGCTTATCCGATCCCCATCGCCAGCGGCGTGGCCTGGGCCCCAGTGGCCGATTTACCCCCCTGGATGGGGATGTAGGCCGTCCCATTCGGGTTTCGAGGGGTGTATCCCCAACTGGGGTGGTAATTTGGTGGGGGCCTCGAAGGGGATGAGGATGGGCATGGGGGTCGGATGAACGATACTGAGCCTACTTCCTCTCCTGCCCCCTCTCCCTCGGCGGTGGACAAACCTCCCTTTTGTAGACCTCCCCTTAGTGAAAACGGCCTGGGACCAAAACCGACGGACCTGGACCCGCAAAAACGACGGCCGCGACGCCCTCTCGCGAACCGAAAACGGCCTATTCCTTAATCCACGTGTCAGGGTGGGAGGTCTGTCCACCTCCGACTCTCCCCCTCCGTCGCCAGGGCCACCGCACACGGTGCTCCACCGAGGCTCTGGCGCGTCCTGGCCATGCCAGTAGTACTGCGAGGTCTCCTAACGAGCAGCAATCGGGGATCTTCCGACCCGGGTCAATCCAGATCCGGGTCAGCAGGAAACCAAAAAATTGCAATGCAGGAAACAAAAAACTGCAACGCAGGGCTTCGCAAACCTGGGTCAGCCACCATGCGCGGCCACCTCGCGGCCACGGGCGGCTCGCAAACCCGGGTCAGCCAGAGTGGGTCTCCGCAAGATTCTGCAGGATCTGCTGCCCTGGCTGACCCCCGCTTGCATTGACCCCCGTCTCTTGAGCCCCGAAGCAGGCCATCGCTCGGACGTCCACTCCCTGTGTTTTTGCTCGGCTTCGTGCGTGCTTCTTTCGCAAAACGATCAAGGATGCTCCTCGATGGTCCTCGCCGAAGGAAAAATACACACGTCCGAGCGATGCCAAGCTCGGGAGCGGCCAAGAGGGGGGTGTCCAAGAGGGGGGGGTGCAAATCATGACCGGCGGCATGTGCGCGGCCCAGCGGCAGGGCGAGGGACGTCACGAAACGAGAAGACGCGCTCTGAAATCTTGGGGAACATCATGGCCCCCGCCATGATATCCTCCCCCCCTAGTCATCACCCCCTCTTTCGGGGATGGACAGACCCCCCTTTAGCAAAACGTGGTTTAGTGAAAACGACCTGAGGCCCAAACCTGGCGGGCGCAGGCCTGGAAAATGACGGCCACGGCGCCCCCTCGAGAACCGAAAACGGACAATTCCAGAATCGGCGTGTCACTGTTGGGGGCTCTGTCCACCCCCGATCTTTTCCGCCCCCGACAAGCCGAAGCAAGGCCTCGAGAGCTGCCCGGGACGGGGGGCGGCGGCTCCGCCAAGGCCCTCCCAGCGGCACGCGGCCTCCCAGAACACGTGGGCTCGGCAGGGGCTCCCCGTGCGAGCCCATCGGCCCAGTCTCTCGACGCTGCCCTCCAACTCCTCCTCCTCCTCCTCCTCCTCCTCCTCCTCCTCCTCCTCCTCCCTCCTGCCTGCCTCCTACTCTTCCCCCTTTATTACTTCCCTCCTCCTCCGCCTCCTTTCCCCCTCTTCCCATCTGCTCCTCCTCCTCCTCCTCCTTCTCCTCCTCCCCCTCATTCCTCCCTCCCCGCCTCCTCGTCCTCCTTGTCGTCGTCCTCCTCCTCCATCTCCTCCTCCTCCTCCTCCTTTCCTCCCCTGCTCGATCCGCCGCCGCTGCGCCCAGTGGAGACTCCCAGGAGGCCCTCAGGAGGCCTCCAGAGGGCCCCAAGAGGCTCTCACCTCCTCGTCCTCATTTCCTCCCTCTCCTCTTCCTCCTCCTCCTCCTCCTCCTCCTCCTCCTCCTCCTCCTCCTCCTCCTCCGCCTCCTCCGAACCGCGCGGACGAAGACGATGTCGAGATCATGATGCTCCCCAGTTCAGGCCATTCGCTGAACTGCCGCTGGGTGTGAACTCGACTTCCTTCCTGCCGCGTGGAGGAAGAGGAGGTCGAGTTTACGACCCGTCCTTATCAGACCACTCGTCGGAATTGCGCTGTTCCTGCAATCAGCCTCCTTCCTGCTGCGCGGTTGCACAAGCACGCTGGCGGGGTTGCCGCAGACAGCTGGGTAAATAACTGCTCCCTGGGTCGGGCGGGCCGGGAATTTCAGCTTAGACAAGCTTGACATTCGCAACCGTTTCACAGGTGGAGGTCGGGCGGTTTTCAAAATATGGCCTTCGCCTTACTTTGCGCCACACACATTCGTATTCAAACACTGCACCAGTTCCAAGGATGAAGGGCGGGTGGTTTTCAACATGCGGCTGTCGCTTTAGCGCCGCATGCATTCCCCTTAAACTTTGCGACGATTTCGCGGATTGAAGGCGGACGGTGATTTGAATGTTGCTCTCGCCTTCAAGTGCGAATCTACACGGCGCAAAGTAGCGCCGTGCACACTCGCCATTGAAACTAGCAACATATCCACTGATGAAAGGCGGTTCTTGTTCAAAGTGTGTGTTCTCGCTCTAGCGCCGCGCACATGGGTTTTCGCTTACAACAGCTTCAAGGATTCGCATGGTCGAAGTCCCACGAATGGTGATCTGGCAAGATTTAGCATTGCCAGGGTGAGGCAGTCACGTGGACGTGCGGGGCTAAACTCCTGGGAATGGTGTTATGGCGCGGATTTGGATTGTCAAGACGCAACAGTCAGGTTGATTCGCGACGCTGAAGTCCAAGGAATTTCAGACGGCTGTCTTCCACTGGGGCATTTCCCGCAAAAACCAAATACTGTAGGGCCCTATGAGGAGTGATCCTGGAGGGATGGTTTATTGCAACATCGTTGATGCGTCGTCGGTTTGCATTGGTCCTGCTCCTGCTCTTCCTCTTCACAGAGAGACGCCTCAACTAACATCGCTTCAGCTCTTCGTGCTAGCAGACAAAACACAGGACACTGACTCTCGGAGCGGTTCGTGACGGGGCCTCGGTAGCCATGGTTGAAACTTGCGTCATCTCTGACAGCTGCACCACGCGAAGAGCTGCGAGTCTTTGCTCTATCTTTGCAGTAAGGCTATTGGGCAATGCGAAATCTGGCTATCGAAAAATGCGTGCCGTGGTTGGAAGCTGATACTGACAGGATGTCGACCGAGAGCATGTGACTACTCCCCTGTTCCCTACCTAGGCTTGGCCTAGAAGGGTTCTTACCCTGTTGGCTTAAAAGGGCGGACAATGAGCCCCACCCCGGGCGGTTCCCCCAGGATCCGCCCCGCGGTTCCCCCAGTTGCGCCCCCTGGGTTCACCCAGCTTAGCTAAGCTAAGCTAAGCTAAGCTTAGCTTATCCCATCTTAGCTCAGCTTAGCTTAGCTTAGCTTATCGTTGCCTGGCCTAGCTTGGCCTAGCTTAGCTGAGCTTATCTCATCTTAGCTCAGCTTAGCTAAGCTTAGCTGAGCTTGGTTTGGCTTAGATTAGCCTAGCCTAGCTTAGTTTAGCTTAGCTTAGATTAGTTTAGCACAGCTTAGCCTAGCTTAGCGCAGCATGGCGCAGCGCAGCATTAGCACAGCATAGCATAGCATAGCTCAGCATAGCATAGCATGGCATAGCGCAACCTACCATAGCATAGCATAGCATGGCATAGCATACCATTGCTTAGCATAGCACAGCGCAGCACAGTATAGCATAGCATAGCATACCCTAGCCTAGACTAGCCCAGCATCGCATTGCGCAGCATAGCATAGCATAGCATAGCATAGCATAGCATAGCATAGCATAACATAGCATAGCGCAGCACAGCATCCACTATTGTTGCTGCTAATGTTGCTTTCCTAGAGGCTCCAACTCCCAGGTAGGGTCGCACTGGGATAATCTAGAAAAAGGCACAAAAAAAAACGCCATGAACATAAACTTGTGGCGCTCCGAGCGGATTTCTTCGATCTGCGCCTGGGCCCCCCCGGCGGCGCCTCCAGCGCCGGGGAGCCCAGGCGCCGATCCAAAAAATCCGCGCGGAGCGCCACAAAATTAGGTTTATGGCGTTCTTTTGTCTTCGATTGTCCATCTGACTACCTACCAAACCACCCCAACCCAACCCGAAGACCCGAATTTGACCTGAATTTCGGGTTGGGGGGGGTACGGGTTCCATGTGTTTTTTCGACGTTCCCCGACCCCCCCCCACTGGAAATGGAGGGCAAATTGAGGCCTTCGGGTTGGGTTGGGGTGGTCTGGTAGGTGGTGACAATCTACTGTCCGCCCACACTCCACGAACCCCCTTCCGCAGTCCAGCATCGCATGCCGGATCAGGCTGCCCCAACTGAGGGTCGCAGCCGCCACCATCGCACCCGGAGGCAGGAGGAGGTGGAGGAGGTGAACATCTTGTTGTGAGAACTGCTATGGCATTTGATCCTGCAAGCAACCCGTGGCCAACCGGATGGAAACAACCACAATGTCACAATGCCCAACGACGGACCCCCTCCCATCCCAAATTACGGAGAGTTAGAACGGGCGGGACAAGTAGTAAGCACTGCAACGATTGATTGTGAGCACGCGCCACTTTTGGAGAACCACTGATTAACCAACTATCCTCGATGCATTGCTCGTTGTCGCCATGTGGCGTCAAGATTTGGAATGCGGCGAGAGCGCTGGGCCGTCGGAGCGTCGGCACCCTTCTAAATTTAAGCGGCACTTTCCCGCTTGCTACTTCCACTGAACAAGCGGAATTCCTGGAAAAGCTCATCAGTCTGAGAAGAACGAGAGTCTGGCCGGTACCAGAAGAAACAACCAGGACCAGAAACGAAACAGGCTGGAGATACACATGCTGAGCTGGCCTTGAATCGGCACGTTGCGTCATATTGTCTGCGCGTGATGCTCGGTCCTGCGACCGTCATGGCAGACATAATGTGCACGGACGTATCCGCTGTCAGATGAGACTCTCTGCCCGTTGGTAACACTCATCCTGAATACACTATCTGCTTCGACTCGAATGCCACATGTCATGTCTGATCTCGTGGCATGAGCCGCAACAAACACTGATCGTCTATTGCAGACTCTGCGCGGCAAGGCACTGGATTGATGTGAGGTGGGAAGGAGGGCAGGGAGGAAAGGAGGGGTAACCCATTTGACAATACATCTGGCAAGATTTCTGATACCTGGGGTCCGGAGTCTTGTGGGAGGGGGAGGGGGAAGCTGTGAGCAGGGGGGGGACGAAGTCCGTCAATATCGAAGCGGGAAATCGGACCGAATCGGAATATGCGTTGGATCGCGCTGACTCGGCACGGAATCGAAATCGAATCAGGTCGGCCGCGCCAGGATGCACAACAACGCCATGCGAGCGTCGGGCCGTCATCATCGGACCGCCAGGGACATTCTCATGACAGCACCGCATCGTGCCGATCGAAATCGCTCTCGGATCGAATCGGCTGGATCGAGCTTGACCCTTTGGGGGCGGAAGGGGAGGGGGATCGGCGGCGGGAATGGGACGAAGCAACGACAACGGCGCGCGCATATTTTCGGAACTGCCGGCGCGGCGGTCACAAGAACGTGTGGCCAGCCCATCCGGCGCGCTCCGCCAAGATCCGCGCTCGGCGCCCGCTTCTTCTTCGCCTTGAAGGCCCCCGACCCCTTCTATGTTCAGTGGAAAAAATCCAAGCACCAAAGTCGATGATCCTCAGAACGTGAATCAACCCCAACGTGTGTTCGTGCATCGAGGACCTTCGATACGACGCAGGCGATGTAATGATCTACTGGTTGGGCTGAAAGGGGTAAACACACATTGGGCTAACACACGTCCTGAAGATCATCGACAAAAATCACCGGACAACAAGCCGGAACAGCCTGCACAATCAACGCCGATGAATGACGATAAGACAACCTCTCCCCGGACACCCCAATTGGACAATCCAGCGGAGATCTGGATAACCTGGACAACCCCACAGGACAACCCGCCTTGGACAAGCCTCCCCAGGGATTCCTCTTCCATGCGATCGAATATAAAGCAGACGCAAAACTCGGGTTTGGAGAACTCAGGTTGGCCCGACCGGGCCATCATCAAAATGAAAACTGGACCGTCAACATCCAGGACGCGCTTGTCAAAAAAAGTCGGCAAACCGGAGTTCCAGCGCACTCGAGTCCTACGTTCCCCCAAGAATAGACTCATGTCGGGAATGTCCTCCTACAGGCGGATCCTGGGAGAGAGATCACAGATAGCCAACAACAAATCAACAGCAGCCAAAAGAGCACGAACCATCGCCACGAGACTATATTTTGTTCACCTCTTGTAGAGGGGCATAACCGACTCAGGACGAGGTCTCCGATGCACCTCCGACGCCCCTGGCCTTATGTCGGGCCTGTCCCCCTACAGCGGGATTTTCGACGAAAAATTAAAAATACCTCAAAAGTACCCCCAAAAAATAATCCCCAGACTATTTTTGGACTATTCTTTGACTACTTTTTGGTTATTTTTTAATTTTTGTCGTCGAAAATCCCCCTGTAGGGGGACAGGCCCGACTTAACCCTAGCCCGGCCTGTCCGGGAGCGGTGTGCGCGCCTCCTCCCCCCCCTCCCCCCAGCTTTTGGTGCGCACCCGCTCCTGGGCTCCCGCTGGGCCTGGCCAGCGGCAGTGGGCACAAGGGATCCTCCTCCTCCTGCTGCTCCTCCTCCTCCCACCTCCTACCTCCTCCTCCTCCTCCTCCTCCTCCAACTCCTCCTGCTCCTCTTCTGCCTCTTCTTCTTCTTCCTCCTCCTCCTCGGCGACCTCAGCGACACCTCGAGTGCGCCTGAGACTCCACGGGACAGCCGACCCACTACAACAGAAAAGGCACATCACGGGGGCCCTCCTCCGCCTGCTGCTCCTCCTCCTCCCGCTCCCCCGCCTCCCCGCCCTCATCCCCGGAAGGCCCGCCCCTGCCGCCCCGTCCTGGAGACCCCCCCTGCTGGACGCCAGCAGCTGCTCTTCGGCTATGCAGTGGAGCTCGACCACGCGACCCTTCCACTGACACCCAAGCCTGAGACTCGGGTCGGGCGAAAGGGGAGGATAGCAAAGGGGGGGTTTGAGAATCAGCTCAAGTAGCTGATTTTCCCGGCGCCTCCCGGCGCTGGAGGCGGTTATGTATCGAGGAATGGGCCACCCCGTGAGGCCGAAACCAGCTGCATGCAGCAAATTTCGTTCGTAACCCCCCTTTCCCAATCCCCCCTTTCGTCCGGCCCAAGAGACCCCTGGGCGTCCGCTGCTTCTTGGCGTGGGACCGTCGCGACTTCCACTAGGTCGGGCATGTCCTCCTACAGGCGGATTTTGGATGACAAATATAGAATAGTCAATACATGTTCAAACATACCATAGAATGGTCAAACCTCGTCCCCGTACCATTTCTTGACTGTGCTTGAATGTTCCTCCTGTAGAGGGACATGCCCGACTTAAGCCGTCAAACGCAACGCCACCGAAGCCCCAGAAACCTAGGGCACCCTGGAGGCAAGCAGGGTGTTCCTTGGCACGGGATTCCTCTGCACTCCCGGGGCCCGCGAGCGGTGCGGTGACCGCCCCGTTTGGTGAACTCAGGTCGGGCGTGTCCTCCTACAGGCGAACTTTGAACGAAAACAGAACATGGCAAAGAGCAGCCGAAACATACTCAAAGAACAGTCGAAACATCGTCCTCATTCATACTATTGTTTGACTGTTTCTGAATATTCCCCTTCCCCCTGTAGAGGGACATGCCCGACTCAACCCTGGAGGCAAGCAAGGTGTTTCTTGGCACGGGCTTCCTCTGCACTCGAGGGCCCGCGAGGGGTGCGGTGACCACACCAGGGCTGGACCTAAGCGTTGTTTTCGTTTTGTGTTCGTTTTGTTTTCCGTTTTGCTTTGCCTGTTTTCCTAGGGCTTCGGGTTGGGTTGGGGTGGCTTGGTGGGTGGTGATGTGCCGCTCCACGGCCAGACCGCGGCCCCGGTCCATCCGGCCCCGCTCCACGCCGGAGCGCGGGGCAACCTCCTCATCGGAGGGGTCCCTGGCGACCGATGCCCGCTCCCGACCGATCGACCTCCGCACCCTGCTCGATGTCAAAATCGGTGGTTGTTTGTCCCTGGTGTCCACTTTTCGGTTTTAGGCCAACCACAGCAGTGGAACACACTGCAGCCTCAAACAGACGAACGACGGCAATACAAAACGAAACCGAAATGGGTGTTTGTTTTGTCCCTAGTTTCAACTTTTCGGTTTTCGGCCAACCACAACAGTGGACACACTGCAACCTCAAACAGAAGAAAAACGGCAATACAAAACGAGACCGGACTGAGCACGGCACGAACGAGAATCCCCAAACGGAAGACAACTGACCCCCAAGCGACAAGAAAACCATCGACCATGAAAACGACAACAAGACATGCCCTCAACGTTTTGAAAATCATCTCAGCCCAACATCTCCATCGGCTGGGTCATGTCATGTCGACTCGCCGGCCCCAAAACCCCTCGACCCAAGGCCCCGCACGGGTCTCCCATCCTGAGCTCTTTTTTTCTTCCAAGCAGCATTCGGCGGCGAGCGAGGAGGCGAAAAACATGGAAAAAAAGCCTTCTCAGAAGGCGGCGGGGCTTCTCGGAAAACCTCGCGCCTTCAGAGACATGCTTTTGCGTCTGCGGGGGAAGCTCGGAAACCTTCTCAAAAGGCCCGGACTGCCGGGCCCGAGCCCTCCGAGAAGGCCTGTGCCTTCTCACTTCCCCGCCGGGGTGCTCGCCGCCGAAGCATCGCCTGTGGCCTGAACCCTGCTGCTCGTGGGAGCATGGGGTGGTCGCGGACCTTCGTCCCGTGTGTGCTCTGCTGGTGCGCTTCTGGCTTGACGTGGCTGCGTCGCTGGCTTCCCCCGACTACGCACATGTTTCCCTGGGGCGACGCCTCACAATTCCGCCTATGGCGCCCCTACACATGGCAACGCCATGCTGTAAGTGCATATGCATCCTTGTCTTCGGAAAAAAAAACAGTGCATCTGCTACCGAAGGAACGCAAATACCCATGTTAGGTCGTGTGTTTTTGTCAGATTGGTACTACTATTCCGACTACCGCCGAAAAGACTACGACTACGACGACAGCAGCGACTACTACTACTACTACTACTACTACTACTACTACTGCTACGACTACGGCCACTACTACTACTACTACTACGACGACGACGACGACTACTACTTCTAGTAGGTTTACAAGTACGACCACTAGTACAACAGGTACTACTGCTACTACCACGACTGCTACTGTTACTAATACGACGACGACGACAAAGACGATGAGGACAACTTCGACTACTTCAATGTCTACTACTACTACTACTACTACTACTA